GATTCTTAGGTTGTGCTCTTTATTATTAATCTTTATTGATTCTTAGCTTGTGCTTCTTTATTATAGGAAATTGTCTTTTTAAGGCTGGTGCTCAGCAACTCAAGGAGGTTCATCATAATAATAAAAATGAAAATTGGTAAAGACGTATGCTTGTAATTGGGCATAGTGCAATACTGCAGGCATTGTGCTGGATACTTTATAAATACCAGCTCACTTAATTTTTACGCTACTTACGGAGATGGGAAATATTATCCTTATTTTACAGAGAAGATATTTAAAGTACCATCTGTTTATTCACCTTTGATTTATGGAGCCTACCCTAGCACATGGAAGCTCTGGTAGCGTAGTGCCTAAGGCACTTGACTGCTAACCAGAAGGCTGGCGGTTCAAACCCACCAGCCACTCCTCAGAAGGAAGATGGAGCAGTCTACTTCTGTAGTGATACTACCTCAGAAACCCAAGGAGGGGTCGCTATGAGTTGGGTCTGACTTGATGGCACGTAACAACAACAACAACCCTCCTAGTGCATGCAGAATGATCACTGTTTTTGAAATGAACATTGGATGAATCTTTCATCTGTTAGCTCAGTCTGTATTTTCGAATTGTCCCTGGGTAGGTTATCGTAGCAGATACACTAGAGTCAGTGTGGTACCAGTATGTTGACCTTCATTATTTTATTACTTCTTGAAGGAAACGTGTCACTGCATACCAGAATGAAATGGTTTTATTATGTGCAGTAGAATGGAATGCACCCCCAATGCCTAACTGCAATCCCTAAAATTGAAATTATTTTATTTTATTGTGCTTGAGGTGCAAGTTTACTGAGCAGAGTTTGTTTTACATTCAACATTTTGTATACATTTGGCTTTACTCCCCAATTACTATCCCCAACTCTAATCCACTTTCCTCCGCTTCCTTCCCAGTAACCCCCCCCCCCCCGCCCCGTGCCCATCATAGTTATTCACTTCTGTGTGTCCTACATTTCCTCCGTGTGAATGTTGCCCCTCTGGTGCCCCATGGTCTATTTCTTCAAGGGATACATCTCCATAGAGTATGTGGGTGCATCACCCTGTGTTGAGTGATCGGTGTGTACTTCTTGTTTACTATTGGGCTGAGAGCCAGCCCCTGGGAGTGAGTTTATTCCAGGCCTGAAGTGTATCCCAGGGCCATAGTATTGGGGGTCCCATCAGAGTCCATCCAACCAGTATTTCTGGTCCTTACTGTGTTTTGGGATTTTGTTCCGCATTTTCCCCCCCACTCTATCCAGGATCTCCAGTTTTGATGCTTTCCTGAGTGGTTGGCATTGGTAGCCAGGCACCATCTAGGTCTTCTGGTCTCAAGGTCCATCATGTCCTAGGGCTGATTGCTTCCAAATGCCCTTGGTTTTTTGTACTCTTCTTCACTTCTAATGATAGGAGACCATTAGCTGCATCATAGATGGCTGCTTGAAAGGTTTTAGACACCAGTTGCTACTCACTCAATATCCTAAAATTGAATTTTTTTTCTGACAAAGAATTCTTTTTGGTGTCCTCTTGGCCTAATGCTGTGGTTACACAACTCATAATGCTATAAAAATTGAAAAATGTCGACATGTCTAAAGAGCCAGCACAAATGAATGATTTGCTGTCTATCAAGACAACTTATATACAGTAAACCTGCGAAAGCCAGGATTTATGTAAAGTGGAATCCTGAAGGAAAAGTCAAATATTTTCCACTCTATTAGGTAGAAAAGTGGTAAGACTTCATCCTGTCAAAGGTGGAAAACTTGCAAGACCTGGAAAAACAAGACAGTCCTGTAGCATTCTGGCTCTCACAGGTTCCACTGCATTGACCTCTTTATGATTTTATCGTTACTCTACTTCACAGAGTGTCCTAGGACATAGAGGGCTTGCAGAAATGGAGCAGCATTTTCAGAGCACATTTTCTGATTGTTGTATGTCAAGGGAAAATAGAGCAGAATAAAATGACTCAAAATGCAAATTATTAATACTTTGCAATAATTAAATAGCACCTACAGTGCATTGCAATGAGAGGTGCTGTGTTGTGTAACATAATGAAGCGTTGCTCGGCCCTACACCATCCTTGCAGCTGTTGCTCTTTGTGAGCCCACTGTTGCTGCACTCTATCGCTCCATCTCATTGAGGGCGTCCCTCTTTTCTGCTGACGCTTTATGCTCTCCAAGTGTTATATGCATTCTTATTGGTTTGACTTTTATTCTATGACCTTTCCTTTCTTTTCAGATTTATTTCTTAACATTGGACTTATAATGATGTGAATTAAGGGCCTTGTTAATGTGACATACAATTTTCATTATAGGGTTTAATAGCTTAAAAGGAACAGTCTTGGACAGTGTTGCAAAAATGCTTTGTCCTGGAAGCTGGGAACTCTTCAGTATGTGGATCAGTGGGTACAGGATAGGCTCATTAATCACTTAAGCAAGCAAACAAAACCAAACCCTCAACATTTATTGAATTACGATGTTGCAATGGTAAATTCAGAGATGAAAAATAATTTAGTTTTTAAGAGACCACATGAAGTCAGCTTAATGGTGATACAATTGTGGATACATGTTTAACAAGTCGGCTTTGATTGTTAAACTACTGTGTGATTCCTTTTTTTTTTTCCTCCCTAAGTTGCCACCAGAACGGGGTATATATTACCCTGTTACATGTCCTCAAAAATTATTTCTGTCTTGTTCATTTTTACAACAAAAAGGTACTGATTTCTTTTAAGCCAAGTTAGGATAAAGTGGTGATATCTCTATAATGGGATGCAGGTGATGGGACTTCTATGTACATTTGACTTTTCTTTTTCAGTTATGTATCACTGAAATTCCTCGATATTTGAAACAGTTCTGTGAGTTAATTTTTCAGGGCAAAAACTTGATAGAACATATTTTTGGTAACTTAATTTTTGTATCTTGTAATTCAAAACTAGAAAGAATTTATCAAAATCAACAAGTTTTGAGTCTGAGAGGTCTCAGGTATGGCTATTTGGATTCTGCTGCCTTTAAAGTGTGGCTGTCTGTTCACGCGTGCTCCTTCTCCTCCCTGCCTTTCCTTACCACTGTCCCACTTCAGCAGTACTTGCACCTGTATCTCCTGAGGTGGTAATAGGCTGGGCCGTCTTTGGATGTGTGGTCAGGTTTTTTTCCTGAAGTAGACTTATCATTGACTGCTAACCAGAAGGCTGGAGGTTCAAACCCACCAGCTACTCCTCGGAAGGAAGATGGGGCAATCTACTTTCGTAGTGATACTGCCTTGGAAACCCAAGGAGGGGTCGCTATGAGTCGGGTCTGACTCGACAGCACATAACAACAAACAACACGGTACTTATC